AAAAATAAGTTGACTAACCTGTATGGAAAATTGTGGCGATTCGATATATAGGGGTACGGATTCCGTTGGAAAATGAGAGAGGCAGTTGGCGAAGCTTTTTGCTCTCGGCCCAAACCGACCAATGGTTGTGGCACCAAATAAGAAGTACATTCCATTGGCATTAAACCTATTTTTATAATCTTTATTTAAAAAAAATCTATATTTAACGTCAAGATCATTTTCTTATAGAAAAATGTATGTGCATTGCATGAAGATGATAAAAAACTGCGGAATAGAAATCTCTAATTTTAGATTAAATATTTTTTCTGGGAAGAATTTAGGCATTAATGGATGTGCATACCATTTTTGCTCACGAACTCATTTAAAAAAATTGGAATAAGTTTCAGTTCGTCTACGCTTACCTAAAATTTTCACGGTTTGCCGGAAACAGGGCATATTTAAGAGCAATACGTAAGTTGGAAATCGTCGAATTTCTAGTCTTCCGACAACAAAATGTTTGCTCTTCTGAAAAGTACCCATTTTCACATTCGATAGTTCGACATGATAGCGACGATATGTCGGCATTTGTCTCACCTACCTATATGGCGAATTCAAGCATAAATCACGACATTCATCGATGCTGCTAATATCCTGGAACACCGAATCCACCGTTTTTAAGATGCGTCCGGGCAAGCGCTTGAACTCGCACAACTTATTCGGCTCATCAACGCAGTTGTTCTCCAGATAATCGACAGTATCTTGGCGTTGGAATGCACTGGTGCCGGTTAGTGTAATGCGATCCATTTCGGAGAGCTCGCAACTTTTTGTGTTGCGATAATAGTTCGCCGATCTGCAGGAGAAGAAAAGGGGAAGCAAAACAATAGTAGCTAAGACATAAAAATTAGGTAATAATTGTAGCAAGTGCAAACGAATGAGCCCAGATAAATATGTTCTTTTAATAACTTTGACCGCATAAGTAAACGTGTCTATAAAAAAAGGTTCTGTAGTTTTAATTTGTGCTAGTATTGAAAATTCGCAGTGAGGTTTGCCTTTTTCTTTTTGTTGTTTGGGAATGCAAGATGTTAAGTTTGAGATTTATGTACATAGACACAAAAAAAGTTCTAAATTCGATTCAAATTATCGCGTTATCGGGTAGTTGCAGATAATGAAAGTTTTTAAAGAAAATATAACTTGTAGTAAAAAAATCTAAAATCTAATTTATTCTTCATTTTTCATTTAATGCATCTCACTCTCAGCACACTACATAAACAGATAAGTATGCACACACTTGCTGAGCTACGATTCTTACAGGAATAGTTTGTTACATTTACGTTACAAATTTACTGAAAACATCAGCAAACCATGCGATTCGGATTATAGAATTGCAATTAGTTCGGATTAATGAGTAGCTAACGCTGTGAGAACAGCAATTCAGATATTCGAGTATTCCGATTATCGAATAGTCGCATCATCCTACCGTTATATTGCTTCACTGAATAAAAATGGGTTATTGGATTGATATAAAAGACTTAGGCCGCGAACTTGCTTGGGTCATTTTCAAACATGGAGCCTTACGAATTTTATATTTCCATTTGATATTTTGACTTTATGTAAATAGCTGCATCTAAGAAAAAGCCTAGGTTTGGCATGGAAATACAGGGTGTATGATCAACAAGAAAAGTGGTACAGGTAGATGAAAATATCATCGAAACTTAATCGTACTACTGGTAATATATTGAAATACTCTTTAAATTCATATACATATATATATATATATATATATGTATAAATTCAAATTCTAAATTATTAATTTTTTTTTTGTGACTCACCTGCACGTAAACTCCTGCTCGCTTAAACATAATTCCAAGCAATATTTTCGTGACACTACTGGGTACGTTCGCTTTGCATAACCATTAAGTTTATAACCTTGTGCGCGATCAATACTCCAGGCACGTGCACAAGGGCGTACTCTAAGACATAATTTTTGTGCATAAAGTGTAAAGACAGGGAACTGCGACTTGGCTAGGGCACCTGGGGAAAAAATTAAAACGAAATTTAAGAAAAGTGAGCAATGTAGACGAAATTTATTTTCATTAATGCAGAAAAGTTATAAACTTGAAGGCCAATTGTCTGCCGATTTTCGAAAAATACTTTTCATGCGCCTTTTGTAGAAAAATATTGCAGTAAGTATGTACATATAACTATGGCTTGCTTAAATAATTTAAGGAGCACTGTTGCGTATGGTGACATCCCTAGTCATTTTGAGATATTAACCCTAAAATCCCAATCTACGTCTGCAAGGCGTATACGAAATCGCGTTTTTTTTAATTTCAACAAAAAAGTGCATTTACACTTTGTTGTTTTAAATAAATTTGGTTGCAGTCTTCATTAATGAAACTATCCTTTTTTATTAGTTTTTATCACAACTTCAATATCCTTTAAAAAAAATGGGCATAACTAAGTACATAGGTTGTCTTTTAAGTCACCTATGCCTCTAATACGTATGTTTGGGCTTTACGTAACTTTCAAATATATTGGCCTTCTAGGGTTAAAGAGCTTTCATAAAAATGTTCCCATCACAAACCAAATTTTCCCTTACGCGCCGAAAACGATGCAGAAGGGTAGACAACGAAATTTTTAAATAAAAAACATAAATCCCGTATGAGACTAGTTGCGACTAATTAATGCCCATTTGAACCCGATTGAGTCTAATGCCGGAATACTCTATTTAGAGATTAGTTTCACAATTTTTTGCAGGGCATATACATACATACAGAGCAAGTTAAATAAAAGCTTGTAAACAAGATATTTGGAACTACCTTAAAGCCCTTGAGGTGTTCCTTGAATTTTATATGGGGAGAAACACGTTTTTTTCTGTGCTTATCTTTAGAAGACTTTCAACAACAATACTCAATTGTTTATTGAAGCATTTTTTATTATAAACGATATGTTATAGGTCCCTCAAAAACCAAACAAAAAATGTGAAGGGGCTCTTAAAAATTGTAAGTCTACTGAAAAGAATCAGAGTTTTCCTATGGAAAAATATTGATTTTAAAGAATTCTACTCCACTTCTACAAAACATTTTTTCCCCATATAAAATACAAAAAAAATTTTGAGTGCTTTGAGGAACCTATAAATATTTTTTTACTTTCGAAATAAAAAAGTTGGGGTATATTTTTTCCGCATCGAATTTCGTTACAATTCAAAAATTCCGACTTTACTTTTTCACCACGTGAATTACATGTTGCAATGCAATTCTTTGTTATTAAATTATGCAGTAGATGGGTATAATAAACACAATAAGTATTTCCAGATAAATCTTGAGCTTTAAAATGTTATTTTATGAGTGCAACTAATACTTATACAAATCAATTAAATACGCCATGAAAAATTTTTTACCCACCTGGTAATTTATCAGCATTTGACGAAAAGAGCACGCATAGTCCGGTCTCGTAGTTCACAGCATGACAAGCAGGATCTTTGCGACAAGCATCCAAGCAATCAGTTAGCATGAGTGTGCCGGGCAAGGAGTGCAACATTTTTCCGGGAGCAGAGAATACATAACTATACAGATTGAAAGCAAAGGAAGAGCGGAAACAGCGAAGAAACAGGAATATTTATTTGATTAATAAGAATAAGTGTTAAGTATTTGGCCGACGTGATTCAGTTTTAATATTGTTTGAGTTGACAAAAACAGTGAAGAGTACCTCAGTAGAATTTATTAGGATATGGGTGTAGTGGAAAAAGACAAATATGGCTGCATGTCAAAAATAATTTATTTATTAATTAGAATAAACAAACTATTTATTGTTTTGAGCTATTCTAAGGCCGTATAGTTCAGTGTTTGTAGACATTCAGCTGATTTGAATTAAGGCTTTCGCATGCATTTTTTTTAACTTCATATAATACAGAATTATGTATAGCACGAGTATAATTAATTTTTGCAATTTCTTACCCAGTTGTAATTTCAAAACCAATAAAATCAGCATCACAGACCTGAATATCATTTCCCTGATTATCCAGATTTTCTTCGAGGCTATTGTCGAAAAATTCCACCTCGTCATCAACAGCGTAATTTGTCAATAGCTTAGTTTCTTGTAATAAATGTGATTCGTCTTTCAATGTAGCATTGGAAGAATTGAACTGAGAAGAAGGTAGCCTCACAGTTTTTTCTCCGCTCGTTGCTGCTTTTGTATCCTTTATAGTAGCACTCTGAACATATTCAGCTTCAGCTAGTTTACTACCTTCCCCGGCTTCAGATTTTTTCAAATCATTCGGTGCTAATTTTGCAGCCATCATAGCTGCTGTTTCTGCTTTTGGAGCTATTTGAGCTGGTTTGTATTTGCCTAATGCTGTTGTTGCATGTTGTTTATCTTCAGTAGCTAATTTACTAGAGGTTGAGTTTGCTACTGCAGCAGCTTGCTTTGCATTATATGATAAATCCAAGCGTGAATGTCTGGCAGCAGTCAGACCGAAAGAAGAAGCTATCAGCATGGATAAAAGCAAAAAACAAGATATCCTTTTGTGCTTGTGTATAGTAGGTTTTCTGTGTTGCATCTTTGTTATTGGTAGCTAAAAATAAAAATATGAAGGTGTGAAATAGCACGGAAATATGATATAAAGGAAAGCCTAAGCGAAGAATTATTAAAAAAGATGAACCGAAAGCTATTTTCATACAGGTTTTTTTAACCGTAGCACACATAATCAAAAAATACCACGTAAACACATTACCGGGGTACCCGGGTGTCCACTTACCAGTTTTGAATGTTTTAGAGGCATAATAGCAATTTTTATGGGTTCAAATCAATACTGTTTGAGCGCTAGTCCATTAAGAATTTTAATATATTAATATATAAACTCAGCAGAATAAATTTTTTCGATGAAGTGTAATAAACTGTAGGCCAATTGTTTGCATTTTAAAAGAGACAAGAGAACTATCCAATTATTAAATTTTCTAAATAAACTTATAATTACATATGGGCCATTCCATACAATATTTACACGTCAATATTCCTTTTGGGGTGAAATATATATATTTACATTCTTTATCGAAAAAAGAAGACAACTATTACTTTTTCGTCATGGTATTCGAAAATCTCAAAAAAAACTTTCCCGAAATTTTGAACTCACGGGAAAGTACTTTAGTATAGACTTTATGTACGCAGGTATGAAAAAACTCGTAACTTCTACAGTTTTGCTGTTTCTATTCTCAAATTTTTACAGCTTACTCCATAAATTTTAGCAACTATTCAGGTTGAAAAAATAAAAATCAAATATGATGAAGTTAATAAACAAATTAAAAAAATTCGATTTTTTTATGCAAACATTTTTTTTATTAATTTATCCCATACTCTCATGGAAAGCCGAGGTAATTACGCACATCCGACAAATAGTTTATTAACTGCAAAGAATTAAAAAAAGAGACTTCNAAGAAGACAACTATTACTTTTTCGTCATGGTATTCGAAAATCTCAAAAAAAAACTTTCCCGAAATTTTGAACTCACGGGAAAGTACTTTAGTATAGACTTTATGTACGCAGGTATGAAAAAACTCGTAACTTCTACAGTTTTGCTGTTTCTATTCTCAAATTTTTACAGCTTACTCCATAAATTTTGGCAACTATTCAGGTTGAAAAAATTAAAATCAAATATGATGAAGTTAATAAACAAATTAAAAAAATGCGATTTTTTAATGCAAACATTTTTTTGTTTTAATTTATCCCATACTATCATGGAAAGCCGAGGTAATTACGCACATCCGACAAATAGTTTATTAACTGCAAAGAATTAAAAAAAGAGACTTCTCCATGAGTTCAAAATTTGGGGAATTTTTTTTCGAGATTTTCGAATATCATGACGAAATAAAAAAATAGGTGTCTTCTTTTTCGATAAAGAATATAAAAATATATATTTCACCTAGAAAAAAAATTTTGAGGTGTAAATATTGTAAGGAATGACCAATGTACATTAATTTATTTCAGTAAAAAGATTTCAAGTAATCATTAACAATATTGCACATTACTATACTACACCTTTTCCAATAGTATTTCAGAAAAACACAAAAGTATTTCCGAAAACTACAAATGCTTTTCAGAAAAACTCTATTAATTTTCAGAAAAGGCCAAATGTGTTTCAGAAAACCTCAAACTATATTCAGAAAACCTCAATTGATTTTCAGAAAAGGCCAAATGTGTTTCAGAAAACCTCAAATTATATTCAGANGTAAAAATATATATTTCACCTAGAAAAAAAATTTAGAGGTGTAAATATTGTAAGGAATGACCCATGTACATTAATTTATTTCAGTAAAAAGATTTCAAGTAATCATTAACAATATTGCACATTACTATACTACACCTTTTCCAATAGTATTTCAGAAAAACACAAAAGTATTTCCGAAAACTACAAATGCTTTTCAGAAAAACTCAATTGAAATTCCGAAAAATGCAAACGAAATTCAGAAAAGCGCAAATGTAATTAAGAAATCATTTCCAGAACACTTTTATCGATGGACTTTTTATCAAAGAGAAGGTTGCATTTTTCGGTAGAAACGAAATCGGCATTAGAAAACATAATGGCTTATTAATTCNGTGTATTTCAGAAAAACTCAATTGAAATTCCGAAAAATGCAAAAGAAATTCAGAAAAGCGCAAATGTAATTAAGAAATCATTTCCAGAATACTTTTATCAATGGACTTTTTATCATCACTCTTAAGGCGTTTTCGTTTCTACAAAAAATGTTGCCTTCTCATCGCCCTCTTCTTAGTGTTTGTGCGTAGAGGGCAAAGAGAAGGTTGCATTTTTCGGTAGAAACGAAATCGGCATTAGAAAACATAATGGCTTATTAATTCATATCCCGATTAACCCCTCACCCACTTTTTCTAATTGTGCGCCAGCTATAATTAAATACGTGCTATAATCTTGCGTATGAGGGTTAAAATAGGAATATCAGAATGTCCAAGTCACGCTGTAGGCAAATTGATGTCGAATGATAGCAGGTAAAAAATCCTAGCATTCAAATAATATTATAAATATACATGCATTTAAAGGTTCCGCCTAACATCACAAATAAATAGCCTAGTTAGAAATTATTTCGTTTGGGTCCGTGAAACCCCTTTCGAAGGAGAAGCTTATAATCTTACTTGAATAATAAAAAAATGCCATAAATATTCTCAAGGAGATTCTCTATTTATGAGGAAATTGTGTAAAGTTTGGGATACAATTTTTAAAATGTCATACACTCTAAAAAAAAAATTGTGTAGATTTCCTACCTAAAAGGTAGGTTACTGATTTCCTACCTTATTATTCGCGAAATTACATCCTCGATTATTCAACGAATAAACCCTCTTCTCAAACTGATATTGATGGTCTGTCTGCCCTGCTATTGAAAAAATGTTCTGCCCTAATTCAACCACTAAAAATCATTTTTAATAAGTCTCTTGCTTCAGGTATATTTATTGATGAATGGAAAGTTACTTCCATAACCCCTATTCTAAAAGGTGGTAAGAAAAACGATGTTAGGAACTATAGGCCCATCTCTAAACTCTCAACTATTTCTAAACTGTTCGAGTGTGTAGTTAAAGATAAACTGTACTTTGCTACTAAATCTTTTATTTGTCATAACCAGCATGGCTTTGTTTCTGGGCGGTCTACAGTTTCAAACTTAGCAGTCTTCACCGACTACTGCGTAAAGGCGTTTTCTTTTGGATTACAGGTGGACTGTATATATACGGACTTCTCGAAAGCCTTTGATAGAGTCCCTCATAGTATACTAGTCGAAAAACTTGCCTGCCTAGGTTTTCATTCATGCTTCTTGGAATGGATAAGATCCTACTTATCCAACAGACCCTGTGTTGTAACCATAGATGGTGTGTCTTCTGACTCTTTTGTGGCTTCCTCTGGGGTGCCGCAAGGAAGTGTCTTGGGTCCTCTACTGTTCGTCCTTTTTATAAATGACATAAGTAGCTGTTTCTCATTCGCAAATTTTTTACTCTATGCAGATGATCTTAAGGTATACACTATAATTAAAGATTCATTTGACGAGGTAAGGCTTCAATGCGATATTGACGCTCTCCATCGCTGGTGCCTGAAATCTTGTTTATCTTTAAACATAAATAAATGCTTTAAGATGACGTTTGCGCAGATTTTGAATGTTCGCAATACGTCTTATTGCATATCGAATCATATTCTCAATAATGTCGGCGAAATTAAAGATCTAGGGGTTATATTTGACCCGAAACTTTCATTTAACAACCATGTTAACTATGTAATTGCGAAAGCATACTCAGTACTTGGTTTTGTACGTCGTAATAGCTCTAATTTCTCTGACCCATATACTTTCAAAGCATTATTTATAAGTTTAGTGCGTTCTCATCTCGAATATGCCGTATTCGTTTGGAGACCACATAGCCAACTTTTTATAAAAAGACTGGAACGTATACAAAAAGTTTTTCTTAAGTATGCTCTTCGGTCACTGAAATTTGAAAGTCCTGTTCCTTCGTACGCTTCGCGTCTCAAGTTGATAAACTTACAATCTTTAGAAAGCCGGAGATCTATCCTTTCATCGTCGATTGCCCCTATCTCTTGGAACGGATTAGCTTCAATGTACCCAGGCGCAATCTTCGAGTCTCTTATCCATTTTACTTGGCAAAAGTCAAGACAAGATTTTCCAGTAATGCTCCCTTGGCGAGATCTATGCGAGAACTTAATATATTATCGGAAAGAATCTTAATTGATTTCTCTATGACAAAACAAGCTTTTTTAAATCTCCTTCACAATACTTTGTAATGTTAATATTGTACTAGCATTAGCAAAACCATTTATCTCCTAGTCTGTAAGAAACATTGTTTCATAGACTAAATAAATAAATAAATAAATAAATAAATAGTTTGTTTAAATTTCGGACTTTTTAGAATGTAACATAGCTGCTGTGGAGTGCGTAAATTTACTACGAAAGAGCGTACAAGCTACAAAATATACATCTGCTGTTTGATTTCACCCGTAGAATTGTGTAAAGCCGCCAACAAATTGGATTTTTACACACGAAAATGTGTAAACAAGAAAAATACATATTCATCGTGTAAATTTACCAAAAAAAATTTAAAAATAAACAAAAATATACTCGATTTATAGTCGCATTTTTAAACAGATTTTTTAGAGTGTAAATTTAACATCTCCTCTTTGGTTAAATTTACCTACGTAAAGTTAATTTTCTCATTAGGCTGCTAAACAACCCAAAAAGTAACCGATTTGGGCACATGTAAATTATGTCACTGCTCTCTGGTTTGGATGCAAAGGGTTGTCATTTTCAAAACCATGCTGAGGAGATGAGAGCTAATATTTGAAAAATAAGTCGCAATTTTAAAGCAAAGTAAAAAGCTCAGTCCACTGGTCACTCATCTGCTGTTTATCCATGCATGTGCATATATGTGGCCGTCTATATATAATGAAGAATACCTTAACCTGTTTCTCACTGAGTATATTTTATGAGAGTATTTAAAAAAAAACATTTGTAGACATAAAATCAACGCCTTCTAGTAAATGCAAGCACACTGTTAAAAATTTTCCCAATAGTTGAGCTATACGAAAAGTGCCAAGCATAAATAAATATTCATTCACGAACTCCGTTTGCATACAACGCCAAAACTAATTAAATGTTTGCGTTGGCAGAACTCCATATG